TATATATATATGTATATATATATATATATATATATGTATACATATATATATATATATATATATATATATGCATATATATAATGTATATTATATATATATATATATATATATATATATATATATATATATATATATATATATATATATATATATATATATATATATATATATATATATATATATATATATATATATATATATATATATATATATATATATATATATATTATATATATTATATATATATATATATATATAATATATATATATATATATATATATATATATATATATATATATAGTATATATATATATATATATCATATTATATATATATATATATATATATATATATATATATATATATATATATATAATATATATTATATATATATATATATATATATATATATATATATATATATATACATATATGTGTGATGTGTGTGTGTGTGTGTTTGTTTGTGTATGTTTGTGTATGTGTATATGTATGTGTATGTGTATGTGTGTGTGTGTGTGTGTGTGTGGTGTGTGTGTGTGTGTGTGTGTGTGTGTGTGTGTGTGTGTGTGTGTGTGTGTGTGTGTGTGTGTGTGTGTGTGTGTGGTGTGTGTGTGTCTGTGTGTGTGTGTGTGTGTGTGTGTGTGTGTGTGTTAGCGCGTTTGTTTATGTGTGTTCGTGTGTGTGTGTGTGTGTGTGTGTGTGTGTGTGTGTGTGTGTGTGTGTGTGTGTGTGTGTGTGTGTGTGTGTGTTGTGTGTGTGTGTGTGTGTGTGTGTGTGTGTGTGTGTGTGTGTGTGTGTGTGTGTGTGTGTGTGTGTGTGTGTGTGTGTGTGTGTGTGTGTGTGTGTGTGTGTGTGTGTGTGTGTGTGTGTGTGCGCACGCGCGCGTGCATATATGATTATATTTGTGTATTATTCATATGAGTGTTTGTATACGCATTTGCTAAGTATGTGGTCTGTGCACGTTCGCTTGTCAGTGTGTGCCTGTGTTTACGTATGCATGGATATACCAACTCATTTGTGGAATTCATGATGAACAGATTTCAACAGGAACAACGAAGGGAAGGACAAGAAAACACGCGAATATGCCGAAGGCCTTTTCGCTAATGGCCTGACGAAGGCCATTAGCCTTCGCCATATACGTGTGTTTTCTTGTCCTTTCCCTCGTTGTTCCAGTTGCATACCAACTCATGTACACATACATATCAATATTTTACATAGCTTTCGGAATAGCGTGAGATATATAGCTGTCAAGTATAAGAAATAGAAAATCATCCAGAAATCGTTCCCATTCACGTAAGGTTTAAAACTCTAGTGGTTTAAAGGTTTTTCATTTAACTGCATTCGTTATATTCTATTTTCATTATCGTGGAACAAACCATTCATTTCACAAAGTATTTAGTGTTCATACTAATAAAGATTTCGTGAGAAAAACAGTGATTCAGTCATGACAGATTGTACGTTAAAACTTTCATAATTTATTTTACATGTGATATTGTATCTATCATCCTAACTAGATACAGATCAGTGTACAGTTGTATATAGTAATAATATTTAGAAACTAATATCCCTACTATTTTCATCTGCATGATTTTTTTATCCTTGCCCTCCTGCTGGAATTTTCTGTGACGTTTGTTTTTCCTGTTGTTCATTTTTTTCAGTACACTTAAGAGCACTGAGTGTCACTGGCTGAGGAGAAAATTCCAGCTGTTGTTGAAGAGCCTGGGTGCTCCCTTTGGGCATGAAACAAGTCTACCACTAACCCTTCCCTACATATATCATCACACTACCACAAACACCGCTTTGTAGACATGCTTTCTCTCATCTTGCATGGTTCAATTTTTCTTATGGGAGATAAGTTCACCAGTCGTAAAGATGGAGTCATTAGCAAATCCGTAATATCTGCAGATGGCAGATTGTTCATGTAATTCTAAAATGTGGGACCCACCCTGTCCATAGTCTTTCACAGCCACTGCAACTTGGCCACAACATGTAAAAAGTAGTGTAAATTGACATGTAAAAACGTTTCCTAGGGAATAACTTAAAGCCAAGGCCACCTTATGGAAGTAATTGTTATGTGATATACATTATTCGATTTCAGCATGGATTTATAGGAACTAAAAAAAATGTATTTTTTTAATGTAGCAAATGTATATGTATATATATATATATATACATGTATATATATACTCATTAGCTATCTCAAATGTCCATAAAATGTTATTCTGGTGTGTGAGTAGTTTAGGCAGAAGTATCAAATACATCCTGTAGATAAAGAGTGTATGTCTTTGGTGTGTGTCAGTTATTAATGTTGTTTGATAACACACAGACTCATGGGAAACATTACTTTCATACAGATCAAGTTTTTTTTTATTATAATGATTAAAAAAGATGTAACCATCACACTAGGTTTCATATTTTTCATATCAAAATATTGCTAAACTTATTGCTTTAACTTACTTTATATCTTAGTAACACGATGCTTTCGCTACAGAGAATTTCAAAGTGTTTCAACAGCTCAAAATTTAATCGATTTTTTTTATCAGAATTCCCCATCAAGCAATGCTGAAATACTGTCTAAAAAAAGGAAGTGAACTTTCATATTCTTATAAAGACTAGTTGGTTCATCTTTGTTATTTCAAGCTCCTTTGGAAATAGACAGAATTTTAGCATGAAGATCTTCACTTGCCATGCTTAAGTCATCACCAAGCAACATTTCTAATCAAACATTTTTTGCACTTATTAAGCAAATCAAAACTATTTACGATTTCAGAAATTTTACTCTTTGTATCTGCACCTTCACAAAAATTCTGTTTTCACTTGGATTATTTGCAGGGGGTTATACACAAATTATAGTTCACATGGCAGATGTCTGTGGTATTAGCAAACTCTCTGAGAGTGTTCATTTCAGTAAGCTCCTAGATGCTTTAGCAGAACTCTTTGATTAATATAGTAAATATTGCTACTAAATTCTTGTGCCCTTGATATTTCTACTTAACAATTAAACAAATTATGCTAGATTTCATTTGTCAAAACTAACACTTTTGAGTTTGCACATATATTCTGCATCTTTCTACAAGGATTTTGCAGTGATGTGTGAAAGATTGTATTCTGAATGCACGTCATAGGTGCCAGGACTGCCTGAATATAGCTTATGAAGGGCTGCAGGGACAGACACTGAGGTGCGGTCCTCGCTGATTCAAGTTTCAGAATAAAGTATTGTTATCTTGTATATGTACTGCAGCTTAATTGCAGACATATGCAAGACTGTTGGTAAAGCAATTAACTGCATCACATTTCTAGAACGACCATAGGCACTGGGACATAAAGGCCAGTTTTCCCATTAGTACAACAAACCTTAGAAAATTGGAAAAGTGGAAGACGTTATTCAAATCCTTCTAAAGTAACTGTAGAGCGAAGGGCCAGATCTCAGTGTCCTCCCCTCGGCCCTCTCATCTCTTCGGCACTATGTGTGTAACACCCTCTGATTCTTGTCTGTTTCAGTTCACTAACTCCCACTTGGCTCTGAAAGGCTGGCCTGGTGTACCTTATCTCGCTCGAGGTAGGGGCCTCACTGTCACACTCGTCTTTTCCTTGTCTCCCTCACTTCGTCAACCTTCCATGTTCATCCTTACCCATTACAAGTTGCGAATTTCAGTGTAACTTTGCCAGGTGTAGAAGATCGCGCTTAAACATTTTCTCTTAATGCAGATCTATTTCCTAAATGTATATAGCAAATTTTATTGTCATTGCCTCGCACTCTCTCTATCTATACAATAATTTTGAGATTTATCTGTTTATACAACAGCAAAGTTCTAAAAATATAAATAATTAGTATCTCATTACGATCATTGCCAAGAGTGTTCATTAACATCTTTCTCACTCTGAAAGAATAGATAAGCTACAATTCCTAAACAGCTGTTTCTTCAAGGCAAAAACACAACTGAAATCCGTACTTCAGCAGCTTCCCTCTCTCTCTGTCTGTGGTTGTCATCCCGGATTACTAACCCATACCTGAGCTCTTGTCAGAAAAGGTTTAATATTGCTAAGAGGCTGTGCCCACTGTCCTTTGGCAGTTACAAGACTAGGAGAGCTTTTTTCTGTATACTGCTGTGTATTTTATTGACCTCTTGAATATTTCATTTTATTAAGACATTCCATAGTAATTGTGGCTGCTGTCTATATGCTAAAGTAAAATGCTTATTATTTTTTCATTTATTAGTTGTTGGATACCCTACAATATTAAAATTCCATGCAGTGCCATTCCATTGCTTCCAATGTCCACTTCTACAACATCATGACACTGTTGAATGAAGTATTGACATTGCAACATCTAAAGCAACCAATCCAGCCTGGTGGATTAGTATTTCATCTTAATTCCCTGTGAAATTCTTCTGAAACAAAGGACTTTCATTCCATCAGCAGTAATCTGAGAGTTGTTTTCTGTAGTGCAGGGCATGGAATGTATTATTGTGAATGATACACTCACTATGCATTTGAGCTATACCTGTAAAATGTATATAACGTTACATTTACTTTATAATTCATGTTAATATATCGTGCATTGTATCAGAAATAATGATTCATTTCTGCCCTGTATCATGAAAGTATACTATGTCAACGTTTTGATTAGCACTAGAAATAAGATATTTATGAAATACCTTTAAAGAGAAAATGATAATAGTGGTAATGAGCAAAATTCTCAAAATGAACATCAAAAGAGTGTAGTATTGGTAGTATTATACCTCATTTAGTAGACTAGAACAGAGATAAGGTTACTGTTGCAATTGCCGAGAAACTGCTTTCACTGTTATTATTTAGAAATCTGCCAATATTTTCTTTACGTTTTAGTAATATTCTTATTAATGTTTTATGTGTCTGTCATGGCTGTAATATCAATAACAATGTCTGCTAAAAAATTGTTAACTACAGCACTAAGTTTATGTTTGAGTACATTTGATTTATAGTGCGATACCAAATAACCTTTGGACTATTTTTCCAGGGAAAGCTGCAAGGTTGATACACCCTTTGTGAAGACCTACGCAACACTGGGTTACTTGTAGCAGAGGTTACACACACTAGCCAAAGCAGGTCCGAGCTTAGTAGCAGCTGAAACCAAGCTGTGATTGCGGTTTAGTCATTCTGTACTGAGCCAGGCTGGTACTGGAAGAGAAAAAGACGGTGGGCATGGAAAGGAGCTGAAGATTTGTTAGTAGTTACCCTTCAAGTTTGGAAGAGACAGGAAAGGTATCGACAGGTCTGGATGCAGAGAATGAACAGGAAGAGCACAAACCGTGAGCTTGAATGAGAAGCAAGGAATAGCGTCTAGTCAGTAGCACGTCTCCCTGAGGCTGAGTGCCCACAGCTGAGCCCTAGAAATGCACCGCCAGTGAGGCGTGCCCGAGGCGTAGACGACAGGCGAAACTGAAGGACTGTTAAAGATTTGAGGGCCGTGCAGCCCTAATGTTGATGGCGCCAAGGAAGAGGATTACGACGCAACCATGTTCCTCGCGTGGGGTCTGCACAGCAAGGCGTCTCTGACTCTCTTATCTCCAACAGCATGCAGAATTATCCTCGAAACAGTGTTGAGAATTGAATAACCATTACCAAAACAATTATAAAGTCATTATTATGACCAGCATGGTTGGACTGAACCTCTCAGAGCCGGCTTGCTAAATTGAGAGGATGGGTCAGACCTCCGCGAACATGACCATCTGAACTGGTATGCCTTATGTCTTCTTCCTTGGCTGAAGCTTCGAGTTCTAGAATGGATCGGGCTGGCTTGTCGAAGGGAAATGGGTGATATCACTTGTCTGTTGGTTCTGCAAGAAGAAACGAAAGTCGAGGAGTGTGAAGGTGAATCATACCTCGGAGTGGAAGGGCAATTATTCTAACAGGTCCTGATGCTTCTTAACATTCCTTTGGGTCGATTAAGAACTTTTGAGCTGTTGAGACCTGTCTTGGCACAATACAGCACTGATGCCACAATCACATGCTTGTTACCTAGGTGCAAATTAATTGTGTAATATGTGTTACATGAAGATGATTGACTTTTAAGATCCTGAGACTAGAAGAGGTCATTGTCCAGAATTTTGTGCACTGAAAAGTTACATTTACTTAGTGGAAACTATTGTAAGCTCTAAGTGGGAAGTTATGGCATATACTGTTGTGAATTGAAGACAAGTCCTTGGTAAATAATTCATTATTACAATATAGGAAATTCAACATGGATTAGTATAGAATTCTTCAGTATTAGATCGAAGTGGCACAAAAGTAAATCTAGACAAAAAATCAACAATTTAATGTAATTTAGATCACCTTTGTAGACTGGTAAAACATCAATAGAGAAGCATAGACTATTCTTGTTCATTCCAGTTGTTTTCGAACTAGGGATGTGACTGAGTCGTAGGCGGCTGATCGCTAGGTGTGAGTGTGTATATAATTGTTTCATGTTGTCTTGAGTGGTATAATCGTCTGTGCACAGCGCTTCTTCACGTACGGGTGAGGGCATATCTGGGCGAGAGGGCATGCCTTCAGCTGAGATCCTATTACTACTTTTTTCTTTGAGCTGGGTAACTTTATCCAATGTATAATTTCCTAAAAGCTGAACAAGAGAAACATTACGATATTGTGCAATCAGCTGAAAAGTTATCCGTGAGAACGAAGATGACAGTTACGAAATAACGAGGTTACACCATCAGCCACCAGCTGAAGGCAGAGCCACTAAGTGTTACCAACAAACTAACAATGGTACAACGATACCAAAAATACCTTAAATGAATACCTGTTTACCTTGATATTTTCATAAGATATGATTGTTTGTCTAATTCTATCTGTTATTCAGTTGAAATATTAGGCAAAAATAACATGTTAAATTAAACTAGAAAATGTTATAGAACCAAAAACATATATTTTGTAAATTAGTATTAACCAGCCCAACTTGGCGCTGACGTACGTTTTTCAATAGAAGCTTTTCTTATGTAAAAGGTCAGCTTCTCAGAAAGAAAAGGAATCATAATGCAGATGCGGTTAATCGGCTGACTATATGTAAATTTACATATTAAGGGATATTTTACACACCTAGGATCATTTACGTTGATTCTGGTGTACTTGTTAATAAGCTCTGTCTTAGTCGGATGCCACAATTCTAAGAAAATAAGAATAGGTATTGAAGTGTAAGAGGAGTGTTACTATTGGTATATCATTTTCACAAAGCATTATGTAGATTCATATGTTAAGATCACTTGACCTTCACCCGTTTGTGCGCGGCCATAGAAGCCATTCTCGGTGGACCAAGACATGCATCATATGCCAGTTGTACATGTTCATGGAAGATTGGCGATTTCAGGAAGACACCAGAGTTTCCATATCAGACAGATCCTGGACAAAATTCGAAGTTTTACTCCTTTCGTATAAGTTCAAAGTAAGAGCATGTTTCGCTGACCTAATTTGTACGATAGAGTAGCGTTCTTGTTTTTCAGCTGAACGAGGGGGCCCAACACCTCCTGGGATCGTCAAGCCTTCAATGCGCTTCTTACTTCATTTGCTATTGTTGCCACCATACGTGAAGCTATTTTGAAATATAAATATGTTTGTAACAAATACTTGCAACTTTTGTATTGTTTAATTGGCATGATATAAGTTTTAAACTTAAGCCTACCAGAGTTGTTGAAAGAAAATTTATATTAAACTTCCTCATAGATTTGTGCCAAGGCAATCGATTATCGTTTTGTAGCTTAAATTGTATATTTATACCAATAATATTATCTCTTTCACTTTTATGAAATCACCTTAACTACAGTTCTTTCTAGCATAGTATCATGATCTTTGTGTTTATGTGTGATGTCAGACAGGGCTAAATCACATTTCTTGTTTTTCACTGCACAGGACAATAGTTCCATGTCCCACTAGATTAATGCAGTGATTGCTTATTTTGCTTTATATTGTGCATCAAGTTTCACTTATAAATAAAATATAAGTTACTCATA